AGCTCTCTCTCATAAGAAAATAAATAAAAATCTTAAAAAAAAAAAAAAGAGACCTCAAGAAATGTGGTAACATATTGCACTGGCAGACAAATAGGATACAGGTAAATAGGAACTCTCATATTACAGGAGGCAAAGAAAATGATACAACATCAAACGGAGAAAAATTTGGCAATATCTATTGAAATTAGAAATGCACATTAACTTGAAGCATACAGGAATCCATCTTATAGCTATAGGTATATGTGAGAAATGACATTCATATGAAGTTATTCTTTGTGCTACTATATGTACTAGCAAAAGACCAGCACCAGTAGAGAACTGAATAAATTATGGATATCCATTCGGTGTATGTGAAAAGATTAAAGAAACTCTTTATGCAGTAATATGAGATATTCTATAAAAAATGTTAAGTGAAAAAAAGCAAGGTACAGAATAACATGTATGCTACCATTTCTGTAAAAATAAAAAAATAGATAAATCTAAGTATTTGAACATGCACAAAAAATATTGGAGAGCTATGTGAGAAATCTGTTGTAGTGACTGTGCAAGAGGGGTACTGGGTGGACAGGAAAGATGTTTACTCTTTATCACACTTTTTTTGGGTAACTTTTCACTGTTTCTCCCATGTAACTATCTATTTTAAGATTAAAAAAATTATAAAATATGTACAATTTAAAACACATATAATTTATCAGGGTGTATCTTATTAAGTAACATAAATAGACATTAATCAATATTTATGGCTTCCTTTCCTTAAAGTTTTGTGTTCAGAATGTCCACTACCAGTGTCAATGTATTACTTGTAATAATGAACAAGAGAGTTGAGTAATTTTGTATTGTTTCTGTATGCCTTTTATTGGGATATTATATCTTAAGAATAATAAATTTGTTTATGTACGGACCTTTGATTTTCAGTGTTTTGAGGAGACATAGCTGGTGTTTCAGATGATGACTGTTTAGGATGTTCTTCTTTTACATCCTCAGTCTTATCAGTTTGGGAAGTTCTTTTCTGGAAATAGGATGCTGCAGATGCCTGTAAAAACAAACATAATGAATACTGTAACAAAATCTAGTAAGATTTCATATACTACAATCAACTTTTTAAAAGTGTGGGAAAATATATGTAGAATTCTTAAACCAACATGTGAAGAAGCCCCTTGAGGTTCTCAGCTGAACATAAACATGACTACAGACACAAAATCCCCTAAAACTACAAATTCCGTATTTTCTAAGTGCTGAATTTTATTATATGAAATGGGAAAGAAAAAAGATCTATTGTACTAATGACAAATCTGGGATGAAATACAAAATCTGGGCTGAAACCAGAAGGCAAAATCAGAATACAGAACAAGACTGGGGGGCGCCTGGGTGGCTCAGCTGTTAAGCGTCTGCCTTCAGCTCAGGTCATGATTCCAGGGTCCTGGGACCGAGCCCCACATCCGGCTCCCTGCTCAGCGGTAAGCTTGCTTCTCCCTCTCCACTCCCCCTGCTTGTATTCCCTCTCTTGCTGTCTCTCTCTCTCTGTCAAATAAATAAATAGAATCTTCAAAAAAAGAAAAAAAAAAAAAAAAAAAAAAAAGATTGGGGCCAGCTATACAGCATCATCTCTAAACAAAGATATGCATCAGAATCATCTGGAAAATTTTTTTTAAAGACCAGACAGATGCCTGAGTCCCTGGGCCCTGAATGTATATGTATATGTATGTATATATGTATGTATGTAATATATATATATGTATGTAATATATATATATATATTTTTTTTTCTTTCCCTCCCAAAAAGTAATTCTGAAGCAAAATCAGATTGGAGAACCACTGCCCTTGCTAGACAATCAATCATAAACAACCGGAGCCTCCTGTCCCATACCTGAGAGAGTGAACAAAACAAACAGAATATGTGCTACTTATTGTTAATGTGGGTAGTTGAAATTGTACCTGCTTAGACTTTGGCTTTGGAACTAGAGGCTTTATAACTGGAGACTTTTCATTATTTGTAGCTCGATTAAGTGTAGTAGATTTCTTGGATGATTTGTTCATATTATCTAAAATATTACTTGAACGTGCTGAATTTACTGAAGTGGATGGTTCTTTGGAATTGGCGGATACCTAAAGAACAAACTATTAGCATTTTATATTTAAAGAAGAAAAAAAATCCCAAGAGACTAATTTTTCCTTAAAATATGTCAGGTCTATATTGTGGTCTCACATTTGGAATTGAATACATTTTATACAATACAAATTAAGACTGATACACGTATTAAATATACCACATCCCCAAGGAAAAGAGGGAATAATCTTTCAAAACTATCAGTACTTAGGGGCACCTGGGTGGCTCAGTTGGTTAAACAATTGCCTTCGGCTCAGGTCACAATCCCGGAGTCCCGGGATCAAGTCCCACATCAGGCTCCCAGCTCTATGGGGTCTGCTTCTCCCTCTGACCTTCTCCCCTCTCGTGCTCTCTCTGACTCTCTCTCTCTCTCAAGTAAATAAATAAAATCTTAAAAAAAACAAATCAGTATTTAGAAGGTAAGTAGAACATATAACTCTTAGACCAAGTGTGAACTAGTGCTGCTTTCATCTGTTTTCACGAAGATCTGCTTTAGTCTTTAATGTCTCCAAGTCTGGAGAGTGTCATCTGGTGGTCTGGAAATATTTCTTTGTATAAAAATGTACTGAAATACATTTTAAATATCACTGGAAAGAGTTTACCTTGAAGGGGTTTACTCGTCCTTGGTTGCTACAGGTAACTGCACCTTTTGTAAGAAAGAAACCCTCACTTAATGTGGCAAAACATGGAAGACTTCTGACTTCTCTAACAATAGATGGAATATTTTAATCTGTATCATACAAAAACAAATGTACTTTGCAGCTTTAAAACTATTAACAACTATATATGACCTCCTACCTCTTTCCAAGCTAAAATACAAGCTAGTAAATGGGAACTACCCCAACTTGTTACTATGAAATATAACAACCCAATATTCATACAGATCAATCCTTTTCTCCTATTACCATGGAAGAACGGTGACTCATTTTAGCTAAGTTAACAATTCCTCTACTTGTGCCCTAGATCCCAATCCCTCCTGCTTTGTCAGGAAACTTGCCCTATCAGTGCCTACACCATCTTTGGATGTATACTACTTTTTCCTCTTTATTGGCTACTCAAGTTTCCTAACTTAAACAAACAAAAACAAGCCCTCCCAACCCCATAGAGCCAAATTCAAGAGCTGTCAACAAAGCTATTCCCAGTTCCTCAAGGTTCATACATTCCCACATCCAAAATATAATGGCTTCCAGCCCTACTATCCTATAGAATCTGCTCTTGCTAAGGACCCAATAAAGTCCGTCTGGCCAAATATGGTGGGTAGTTTTCAGTCATCATCATTTTGACCCACTCAACAGCATTCTACATAGCTGAGTGTTCCTTTCTTTTTGATCCTGTCTCCTACCCTTGAGTTCTGAGATTCCATGTTCCTATCTCCTTCCTCTCTTACCTCATTTTCTTTTGATGGTTCCTCCTCCGCCCAATGTTTAAATGCTGGGGATTCTCCACCCCCTAAGCTCACTTTTCCTCTCACTTTATATCCTCCTCCAATGCTCAATCACCCATGCCCGTGATTTAAACTGCTATTGTTATGCCAACAATTTTCACTTTATATCTCGCTCTCAGACTACTTTCCTGAGTTCCTAGCCCAAACATCCAATAGTAGTTCATCTTCCTCCTATCTAAACCTGAGTTTCCCTAGTGTTTTCTAACCCAGTAAATGGTACCATCATTCATTCAAATATTCAAGCTGGGAAACTGAGTCATTCTTATACCCTGAACTTTCATACTCTCTACATTTTCTTCAGAAACACTTTATCAATTCTTCTCATTCTTTCTCCCATTCGTCACCACCACCCAAGTCTAAGACACTATTCAATGTCACTTGGGCTGTCTCCTTATGTGCATTCCTCCTCTGCCAGTGTGCACGCTCTGCCTCTGCTTTAAATCTACAACAGCCTCCCAGTGACCTCAGAATCAATATCAAAATCCTTACTGTGGCCTCCATGGATCTGCGTGATTTAGCTCCCGCCCTTCCCTCCAAAACCACTCGGTGTCACTTTTCTCTGACTCTGTGCTCTTCGCACTACTCTTACAGTCTTCGCAAATGCTATTCCTTAAGTCACACACCTTTCCCTTGCTTCTGCTCTCACCCACGTCAGCCTAGCTGATTCTTATTCATCTCTGCTTTAAACATTCCATGAGGCCTCCCTTGGGGTCCTGACAAAGCCCTTACCTCTGACTAGAATACAGCATACTGTTATATGCTCTTATAATACTCTGTACATGTGTTTCCAGGTAATTTTTTAAAATCAAAGGACTAGGGGCGCCTGGGTGGCTCAGTTGGTTAAGCGGCTGACTTCAGCTCAGGTCATGATCCCAAGGTTCTGGGATCGAGTCCCGCATCGGGTTCCCTGCTCAGCGGAGAGCCTGTTTCTCCCTCTCCCTCTGCCTGCCTCTCTGCCTACTTGTGTTCTACCTATCTGTCAATTAAATAAATAAAATCTTAAAAAAAAAAAAATCAAAGGACTATATACACATGATTTAAAAATTCAGTTGATACTATGTAAGATTTACGCAGGAATCAACCATGCATGTCTGCCCGACTTCTATATGTCCCACCTAGTCAAATACCTGACACACAATAGGCATTTAATAAATATTTGTAAAATTAGCAGTTTCACAAACAATATTTCTGATAAAAACAAACCAAGGGCAGAAGAGTGGAGGTGGGGGTGGGCAAAAGGGGTGTATTTGAATAGATATATCACTTTAAAGACTACTCGCACAATTTTCTTGATATTACAGAATCAGACATATTTCTTACCTGACTTAATAGCTGGCACATCAGCAGAATTTGCACTTTTGGAAAATGGATTCAGTCCTATAAAATTTAAAACAATACAATGTAAATGGGGAGATAAAGTTACTCTCTATAATCAACAATCAGCATAGATATATTAACAAAGCACCGGTATTCAATTTTCCTCAGCTAAGTAAAATGGGGAAAGCCACATAAATGACATTTCTCATCCTTAAATTGCCTTAAAAATGTATCTTATGGGGCACCAGGGTGGCTCAGTTGGTTAAGCATCCAACTCCTGATTTCAGCTTAAGTCATAATCTCCAGATTGTGAGATTGAGACCCATCTGGCTCCTCGCTTGGCGGGCAGTCTGCTTCTCTCCCTACCTCTCCCTCTGTCCCTCCCCCAACTCACACACATACTCTCTCTCTAAAATAAATAAATGAATCTTTAAAAAAAAATCTTGCCATGGTTATGTAATTCTGGTTCTTCTTCTTTATCATCAGATTCTCTGGTGTCCTCTGCATCTTCTTCAACTTGGTTTCTAAGCCTTGGCTGGCTCCAGTCTGTAGCAGTATTACTATAACTAAAAGACAATATATTATTCAATAAAGAGCTATACAAAGACCAATTTAATATTCAGAATGGTAAAGAAGAATTTAAGCAACTGATTATTTCTTACCCAGCATTCAGCTCTTTTCTGAAATCTTCCTCTTCCTCTTCTTCTACCTGGGTTGCTGCCAATTCAGCTGCCTTCTCTACAGCCAGTTCACTAAGTCTTTGGGCCAATATTAATCTCCGGGAACGAGAAGCATATTTAATGGCTAAATTCACAGCATTTTGAGTCATTAAATCAGCTAGTTCCACACAACGGAATTCCCGATCCAGTTTACAAGAAAGCTAACCCAGAATGGAAAAAAAATAAAGCCATGTCAAGAGAAACTTTTTATTTTTAAAATTTTTAAATTTATTATTATGTTCAATTAGCCAGCATATAGTACATCATTAGTTTTTGATATAGCGCTCAACGATTCATTAGTTGCATATAACACCCAAGAGAAACGTTTTAAAAATAAGAGAATGATACTAGTAGTAAAACTGAGAAATCAGTTTTCTAGATAATGCATCTCACTGATTCTAAGAACCATATTTTTATACATTTTAACATCTCTGAAAGTGGGAGCATCTCACAACTGATGGTGGGTCAGAGTTTAACTTGTAACATTTTTGGGGGGGCTTAAATAATGATGCATTTTACAATCAATAGTAGCTTAGATTCAATCAAATAAGGCTTAGGATTTCAGGCTATTAATTGCAAGGGAAGTAAAGATACTCCTTTACAATTCAAATGTGGTTTTCTTAAACTTGTTTCACTGCCCACCCACCCTCACCCCACCCTCGCCAAATAAGGCAGCAAGTTCAAAGAAGGAATAGATAGTAAATGATTTATTTGTTATTCCTTTGCCCAGAATTGGTACACAAATACTAGTAAGTGAGTTTGGGTGGGGAGAAGTAGATTTAGCCATTCATTTTTAAGTGTGATTGTCTAAGATCTCCAACTACCAGAAATATTTACACAACTTCTAATTAACAACTCCCTTTTTCTTGCTCTATTTTTTTATATGTAACAATACAAAAAAAAAGGGCATTCATTTAACATCTTAGAAAACACTTGACTACTTTTCTTTTGGTATGAATTTTTACAACTCAAAGTGAGGCAACTCAAGTACAATGTAAGGAAAATTCGTACTTCACAGACTACTAAGGGTTTCCTAATTCATAGGGTAGAAGGATTATTTTGTTACTTAGACATCCCACATCTCATGCCTCAGCACAGAAGGTTTAGACAATCACCTGCATGTCCTTTTCAAGGTTTCTACTATCACTCATCTATAAATAGTACTTCTTAATCAGGGTAGTACTCTGCCTCAGGGGACATTTGGAAATGAAAAGTAGTAGGATTCTCATAGTAAGGAGGCTGAAGTTCCAGCATTTGCCAGGGGGACAGGAATGCTAAAGAACTGACCAGTCCTTAAGCTACTGATACTCTGTTCAGAAACACTGTTCCAGAGGAAATGCTCCTCCAATGCTACATGGTAAATAACCAAACGGATATTCTTACGTGTGCTGTGGGAAATAAGAATGTTACTAGTTCCTACACCACAAATGACATTTTTATAAAAGGAACAAAACTTACTCTACAAATAGCTAATTAAATTTCTTCAGTACTGGGGGGCACTCGGTTAAGTGACTCAGCTCGGGTCCCGATCAGAGTCCCAGGATCAAGTCTCACATTGGGCTCCCTGCTCAGCAGGGAGTCTGCTTCTCCCTCTGAACCTCCCCCCCCACCGTCACACTCTCTCAAATAAATAAATAAATAAATAAATAAATAAAATCTTTTGAAAAAATTTTCTTTAATACTGTACTCAAGACAGTGTCACATAGTGGTGACAACAGTGAATACTACCTTTTCCCAACAACATGATGGCTCTAGAGAGTATAAGGCTAAGTGAAATTAGTCAGAGAAAGATAAATACCATATGATTTCACTCATATGTATAATTTAAGAAATAAAACAAACACAGAAAAAAGGACAAATAAAAAAACTAGACTCTTAACTATAGAGAACTGGTGGTTACCATAGGAGACATCAGTAGGGAGATGGGTGAAATAGGAGGAGGTTAAAAGTACACATATCTGCCCATGATCTTAGTTACAAGGTAAGGTCTAAAATATTTTACTTATTTACTTTTTAAAATATTTTAACTACAACATCAACTGGGAAGCAATTGAGTAATGTACGGAATTGTTGAATCACTGTATTGTACATCTGAAATTAACATAACAATGTAAATTTAGACTAGAATTAAAATTTTAAAAATGAAAAAAAAAGTTTCTGAGGTTGTGGAACTTGGTGCTAATTCACATACTTTTAAGAAATCCAATCTATAGAAAAGTGCAACTTTAATTTTTCCAGCATATTTATTATACTCACCGCAAGCATTTTCATTAAAAGCTCCTGTTGTTCTTTTATTGCTTGATTTTTAGTGCTTTCTTCATACTCATAACCATTTTTAGCTAAATAATCAAGGTAATTGTGAAACATGATGGAACGCCAAAATTGTTCCTATAAAAGTGAAAAAAACAGCTTAGAGAAAACTACCAGCTAATACCAGGCAAGTATTAAATATTTATCTTAAGATAACGGATTCTGAATTAAAATAATTTTTGAAATACTTTTTCTATAGTTTATTTTGTAATTCAAATTTTAACATGATACCAAACCTTAACTTCATCTTCTGTACTTAAAAAAAAAAAAAAGAAATATAACATTTTAAACAGTACCTTAGCTATCATTAATGCTCAGAGAAGGTGGTATGCTACTTTTTAAGAGGCTGGTTTACTTCCTATTTAGAGTAACTAATTACAAGATTTCAAATGACTTTTGATGGTACAGGGCTATGCCTAGAGTGAAGCAAGCCTGGTCTAAGACGCAATATTTATGGAGGTCCCCCCTCTCAGGCACTCACCCAACTCTGAGAGTGAGTGAGAGCCCTTACCCTGATGTTCATACCCATTTACCTCACAGACAAAATCCCTGGAAGCAGAGATGGCAATCAGGTACCCTTGTGATCATAAGCAGTCATCCTCCCACCCTACTACCACTATTTATTTAATCATAAAGTAATGAGTATTCAACACTGTTTATCAGGGAAATTTTTAAATGTCTACATCACAGGCAATGTATTATCAAATTCAGAGTGTCAAGGTAAGATTTCCACATACCTCCATTTGTCCTTTCTCTGTTGCAATCTGACAATAAGGAAGCTTAAAGGATAGTATAGCTACAGCAGGTCGTGGAAGGGTGGGAGGAAACCGAGAACCTTTGCAAGGAATGCACCTGTCAATAAAAAAAAAAAAAAAAAAAAAAGTCTCACTACAAAAATTCCTTCCCAAATCATAAAAACTGTTAAAATATAAAATTTCCAAAATTCAATAACTTGGAATAATATTATTCCAATAGCTAGATTAATAATATACAACAAATTACTCTTTTTTTTTTAACTTCACACCTGATTGGGGTTTTTTTTTTTTTTTAAAGATTTTGTTTATTTATTTGGGAGAGAGAGAGAGATCACAAGTAGGCAGAGAGTCATGTAGAGAGAGGGGGAAGCAGGCTCCCCGCCGAGCAGAGAGCCCCATGTGGGGCTCGATCCCAGGACCCTGAGATCATGACCTGTGCCAAAGGCAGAGGCCTAACCCACTGAGCCACCCAGGTGCCCCACATACCTGATTAGGTTTAAAAACTATCCCTCCCCATGCATTTTAAGAATTTCAACAACCCCTCCTCATATCAGTTTTTCCTTCGGAAACTGTCCACTTTTAAAATATGGCAGCTCGGGGCACCTGGGTGGCTCAGTGGGTTAAGCTTCTGCCTTCAGCTCAGGTCATGATCTCAGTGTCCTGGGATCGAGCCCCACTTCTGGGCTCTCTGCTCAGTGGGGAGCCTGCTTCCCTCTCTCTCTGCCTCCCTCTCTGCCTACTTGTGATCTCTCTCAGTGTCAAATAAATAAATAAAATATTAAAAACAAATAAAATACGGCAGCTATGCCATAATAGTTGTCAAGGGATCCATGTTATAAAACAGATGACCCAAGATGAAATACTGATGAAGCATTTCCTTTTATTTACCAGTTTGGGAATACTTGGTACTGCTGGTAGAAAGTGTCAAATAAGAGAAAAAGATGGTGATATGTCCAATAGAGATATGTCCAATAGAGATAAGTATCTACTACTAAATATTGGTAAAACTGAAGCAGAAAATCCAGTATATACCTGGTTATAATATATACCTGCTCTGCTAAATCAATGGTTGCCTTATGTGATAATAAATAGCTCAGTGGCGAGAGCTTTGTCTAAACCTTTTCTGATTATGATATGGAAGTATTTAAAGATGCCCATCAGTATGAACAGTAATGCAATTCATTAATTAAAAAGCATTCATTAATCACAGAGTGACATATGCATGTAGAATACCCTTTCAACTTATGTACTCCAAATTATTTATAAGAAAACCACTGGAAAACCATGCTCACACATGAAGTACCTTGGGTGAATTTTCTAATTTCTCTAGTCATTTAAAAATACAGTACAATGTTCAATGCCTATTAATAACCACACATTTAATTTATAGTACAGCCTTTTAGTCATGGCTTAAAGTCATGACTTTCTTAAAGGGAAATACTAAGTAGAAATCAGATCCTCAGGTGTAAATTTTTTTCATAAATGTCTTCTAATATTATCAAATGCCCACTAGAATAGTTAAAAATTAAATAAGTGGCAATACTCAGCAATCTTTTAAACTAGAGAGGCCCCCCTTCCTAGTAAGATTTGAATACACTTTCTTCTTTTTGTGACCCTACAATAAAAATACAAACATGTTTTTAGCGTTCCAATACTTTTGAACACATAAGCTCATTTCTTCTTCTTCCTCTCCTTTTACGATTTCATATAAATCAGTGGTTATCACCATACCAGGTGGCAGTTTGAATACCTGAAAAAAATCTCTTGTAGCAATTCTGTCATTCACAGAAGCTAGTGGTTTATTAGTCATGCAAAATGAAAAAGCACATGTGCATTCGGAAAGGAACAAGTCTAATTATACATATATACGTATATTAACAGATAATCAGAAGGAACATTGGGAATAATCTTAATTGCCTTAACATTTATTTTTTTCTATAAGAAGACTTATACTCTCTTGTTTAAAAACATTTTATACCTCAAATACTCTATTGACTTATCACAGTAAGCAATTATCACAAAGAAAAATTAGGACTTTATTAATGGTTTTTTAAAGCTACATTTATATCAAAGCAGGGTACTAATTCACATTTCTTATACTTGGAGCTTTAAAGACTTGAAAGTAAAAAGACCTGTTCTCCATTAAATACCCCTTTCATGAAAGAAGAGGAAGAACAAACTCATTTGACTGCTAATTTGGTGGGTTTTGCCTATAATGAATGAGCCTCCAGGAAATTGCGTGGCTAAACCATCTGGAGGAGAAAATGCAAAAAATAAACTATGGTTTACCAAGAAAACAAAATTACTTCAATTCCTTTTCAAATAAATAATAAAACTTGTTCTCTTATTAAGGGAAGAGTTGAAAAAATATTAGACTAGTGAAAATTGGGGCCAATGTTCAGACTAAGCTTTCCCCAGGTAACAAGTTTTGCTTTGTGTCCTGGGTTGCACAGAGGAGACTTTGTTCACAACTTGTTTGGAGCACGTACTCAGGAGTAGATAATGATTTTAGCAGCCAACTCTTCCAGGCCTTTACGTAGTACAGCACATATAGTCAGTACTGTAACAAATGCTTGTTAAACAAAACTCAAAACAAGAATTCGTTTGCAAGCACGCTTAAAACTCTTAAGAGCTTTTAAAAGCTAAAGAGAAAAGGAAGGAAGGTTAATGTTGGTAGAGAGCAAACTGGACTGTAGCATGCAAAATCAGGAAACTCAGTTATATATTAACCAGTAGTGATTATGAAAAAAATCTTCAGTGTAAACAATAAAGATAGTTTTTGCTAAACTGAAGTGTCATTCGAATGGAGGTAGGAGTGATAGCTTCTACAGATTAGTAATTACTCATATTCATGATTAAAGGCAGGTATTTCATATGGACTCAAATGACATGTTTTTAATTCCTTTATTTATCTCCCTAGGAGTTGAACAGTTAAGTCACATACTAACTGTGTTTAACTGTTTGAGGAAATGCCAAACTGTACCGAGTTTCTATCCCACCTAGCGCTGTTTAGGGTTCCTCATGCTCAACAGCACTAATTATTGTCCATCTTTCAGATAATAACCGTCCTGGTGGGTATGAAGTGGTATCTCTGTGATTTTGATTTGCATAATGATGCTTAATAACTAATGAATACCTTTTCATGCATTATAGGCCGTGCGTGTTTTCTTTCGAGAAATGTCAATTCAAATACTCTGCCTAGTTTTTAATTGAATTACCTTTTCTTAGGTTACAAGAGTTCTTTATATATTCTGATACACATCCCTTTTAAATCTACATGGTACTCTAGTGTGCACTCGTACCTAACGTTATTACCTATTCTAATAGAAATTTAGGGTTCCAATCTTTTGCTAATATTAACAATCCTACAATGTAGGGTATCTTTTCCATGTGTCATTTCCACATGTGCTAGCAGCATATTTCCTAAACTTTAATGCACACACAAATCCCCTGAGGATCTTGTTAAAATGCAGGTTCTGATTCAGTAAGTCTGAAGTGATACCTGAGATCTGGTGTTTCTTTTCTTTGAAAGATTTTATTTATTTGAGAGAAAGTGCATGCATATGTGTGCGAGAAAGAGGGCATGAGGGGCAGGGGAACCGACATGTGGCTCCATCCCAAGACCCTGGGATCATGATCTGAGGGGAAAGCAGATGCTTAACCGAATGAGCCACCCAGGTGTCCTGAGATAGGGCATTTCTAATAAGCTCCCTGGTGATGCTGATGCTGCTGGTCCATGGATCACACTTTAAATAGCAAGTACTAGTACATCTGCAGGAAAAATCCTAAGGCAGATAAAAGAGCACATGCATTTCTAATTCTGGTAGTTCTTGACAAACTGCCTTCCATAGGGATTATAACCCATTATACTGCTATCAGCAATTATAAGCTTGATTATTTCCCCCCAGCCTCACCAACTAAGAGAGTTATCAAATTTTCAGATTCTCCTCACTTGATAAGTAAAAAGAGAGTTTTTATAAGTTTTGATTCATATTTTTCTTATTTTGATAATCAATCATCTTTTCACATATCCAAGAGCCATTTTTATTTTCTTTTCTAAGTAGTGCCTTTCTTGAAATAGTCTCTACTTACAACTTCAGTGATATGATGTTCTTCAAGTGATTTTTCTCTTGTTTGCTTAGCCAATATTCCTTTTCCTCGTTCAAAAGCACCGTCTCCCAATACCTGACCTCTAAAGGTTGGAATTTCTAAGGGGTGGATTCTAGTGACCTTTTTTGTTTCTTTCTTCTATGTGTTCTCATTTATTACTATGACTTTATTTTTTTTAAGTGTTTTATTTATTTTTGAGAGAGAGAGAACAAGTGAGTGGGGGATAGGGGGGCAGAGAGAGAAGCAGGCTCCCCATTGAGCAGGGAGCCCAATGTGGGGCTCAATCCCAGGACCCTGAGATCACGACCTGAGCCAAAGGCAGCCACTTCACTGACTGAGACACCCAGGTGCCCCTTGTTTATTACTATGACTTTAAATACCTTCTATATTCTGGTGATTCCCAAATTTATATCTTACAGTCATGTATTATAATACCTTCTTGATATCGCCACTTGGCTCTTCTGCAGGCATTTCAACAATATACCCAAGAGAGAATTTGTTTTCATCTCCCTTATTTCTATAAATGGTATGACTATCCATCTAGTTGCTTTTATTGGAGACATAGGTGTCATTATTGAGTCTTCTCTCTCACTCCCAACACCCTATCTACAGAAAATCCTACTTGTTTCTATCTCAAATCTAGTTCCCTTAATTTCTACTGCCACCACCCTAGTTCCAGCTACACTAATAGCTCTGCTGGATGACTGCAAAATCTTCCTCAATGTTTCTCAATGGAGGCACTGATAGCACTTGGGAAGGACGATCTGTAGTTCAGTAGGACCATCCTGCACATTCTAAGATGTTCAACAGCCCTGGACACAGCTCTCTAAATGCCAGGTAACCCCTGATCATTGTGATGGCTAAAAATATGACCCTATGTCTCCAAACACTCTCAGAAAGCAGGATAAATCCCCTGACTGAAAACTGGGCTCCCTAATTTCAGTCTTACCTCTGCCAATACATTTAGCACATGTATTTTTCTTTTTATAGTATAAATCAGATTACGTCATTCCCCAGATAAAACTGTAGAATGGCTTCACGATACAACTTCAAATGAAATATTAACTTCTCTATATGGTCTATAATGCAGCCTGTGTCTAACTTTTTCCGATATCAGCATGGACTTAAGCTTCCCATCAACCCCCAACTTCTTAGCCATTTTTGCATTCTTTCAATTCTTTAAACACACCTAGCTCTTTCTGACTTGAGGACTTTTATACATGCTGTCTATTCTGCATGGATCATTTTTCACTCCACTTTTGCCTCACAGACTCCTTGGCCTTGGGTCTCATTTTAATTCTATCTCTATTAAGAGTCCTATGTGATTATGCTACCTAGAATGTGCCCTTCTATTATGCTCCATCATGGGTCTGCTCAGATTAATTTGTGGCATTTATCCCAAGTAGTAATTAATATTTACTTATTTCTGTTATCTGTCTCCCCAGTCTATAAGCTCCATGAAAGCAAAGACCTCTTTGATCACCAAGTACCGACATAATGTTACTGCCAGTTGCTTAGACCAAGAAGATATCAAGTGTCAAAAAAAGAAGAAAATATTTAATATTGAATAGAGACTAAATGGATTGAGAGTTGTACACCTGCAGTCAGCTACTAAATTTTTATTAGCCCTCTCTCTGGTTACAATTACTGAGCCCTTTAAAACTCTCAAAAAGCCACTGAATTATTCAATTCTAAATCACAGTTTAAAGTAAAAGGCTGTAATAAAAGATGAAATGCCCCATTTCGCTCTCCCTTCCCGGTCTGGCTGAAATAATACTGAAGACTCACCAATAAATTTAATTTCTATTTTGTTCAGTAAGTTCTAAGTCAAGCAATCAGTTGAAAACTTCAAAATGAATATAAACAAGTTTCTAAGTTAGTAAATATGGAAAGCAAAAATATGAACTAACCTGAAGGACAAAAAAATTTGTAAATACCTTTAAAGTGTATAAAACAAAAAATTTCACAGTACTTTTTAGAAAGAAACAACCAAGCACTTTCTAATAGCCTACCTGAGTTGCTGGGGATTTTCATGGATACCAACCACCCAGTAGTGATCAGATTTTCCTTTGCAGTGTTCTCTTGTGTTACATACTGGAGTCCATGTGTTACCAAGCCCTCTGTTAAACATTCTAACAATACCTTCTGAATCCACATAACAGGGAGTACCTACACAGCAATTGAAAAAGGAATCACTTGGAGAAATAGCTACATATTTGTGAAATAAATCCAATTTCAAAAATATATGCCAATGATTCAAATGTCAGTTCAAAAGCAAAAAGGTGAATACTTAAAGATCATTTCCCACAAAACTTCATTAACCACACAGAGTAAGACCTAACTGAATAAAAGAAAAAAAAAATGCATGACTAAAATTTACCCAAGGGAAAGGCTGATAGTTTCAGTGAGAACTATGCCACCTACTGGAATATAGCAGTATTTTTAAAAGCCAATTTCAGTTAAAAAAAAAAAAAAAAAAAAGGTTAAATCTGAATGTGAAGTTTCACTAGTTAAGAGAGACTTGGAAAAATGACCGGAACCTGACGCACAGTGATGATCTAGAGAAATTTGTCTTTAGTACTCTTCTTCTTCTAGCTTTCTTGGCCTTGTCACTGTTGTATTCCTCAACTCCTACCTAAGCAATTCTTAACCTGAAAACAAGTCAGCATCTCTGTTTCCCACTTACTCTGTTCTCATGTCAGGAAGTACATAATAGCATATTTGCTAATTACCCCTTTCATTATCTGTGACTTCATACACCTCTCACACTGCAAACAGCATGTTCCTCAAGTCTAGATCTAACTGGTAACTGGGGGAAAAAATAAAGCTATATGAATGGAAGTTATTAATGGTCACATTAGAACATAAATAACCAATAAGGGGCACCTGGGTGGCTCAGTGGGTTAAAGCCTCTGCCTTCGGCTCAGGTCATGTTCCCAGCTTCCTGGGATCCAGCCCTGCATCGGGCTCTCTGCTCAGCAGGGAACCTGCTTCCCCCACCTCTCTGCCTACTTGTGATCTCTGTCAAATAAATAAATAAAATCTTAAAAAAAAAACAAAACAATCAAATCCCACTAGAAAACATCTAGAAATGGTTGATTTTTTTAAAGACAAACTGGAGTTTCCAAAGATATAAGTGAAAGACATGAATCTCCAATGGAAATATCTGAGTTAGAGAACAGGTACATTAAACAGGTACCTTAAAATAAGGTACTTCAAATCATCATCAGTCATAAGCCATTATTAAATGAGTCTACAAATGTAACTTTTAATTTCTTAGTGCCAGATGAGGAAAGGGGGAAAAGAGGCACCTAGGTGGCTCAGTGGGTTAAGCCTCTGCCTTCAGCTTAGGTCATGATTCCAGGGTCCTGGGATCGAGCCCTGCATCAGGCTTTCTGCTCAGCAGGGAGACTTCTTCCCTCTCACTTTCTGCCTGCCTCTCTGCCTACTTGTGATCTTTCTCTCTCTCCCTCTGTCAAATAAATGAATAATAAAATCTTAAAAAAAAAAAACTGCTAAAAAAAAAGGAAAGGGGAAAAAGTGAGGCTAATTTGAATAATATATTTTATTAAACCCAATATATCCAAAATATTACCATTTTAACATGTAATCAATATAAAAGAATTACTGAGATTCTTCTTTTTTTGTACTAAACTTTCAAAGTTCGGAGTATTTTATTCTTACCGCCATCTCAATCTGGATTAGCCACATTTCAAGTGCTCAATAGCCACACGTGGCTACCGCAGAAGACAGTGCAGCTACTGAAATTTCCTATTTTTTTTTGCATAGAATCTCCTGGAAAAGCCACAACTTTACCACTGACTTGTATCTCCTTGTTATCTATAACAAACTTTTAGAGAAATGTATTTCTCTCTTTGTATGTTTTCTAAACAGAATTCACGTGAACATCATATCTTATACATAAAAGAATGGCTATCTTGCCTAACAATTCCAGTTTCCCTACTGCCAACATAGTAAAGAAGTTTACACATATAATACAGATAATTCACCTTAAGAAAATAATTAGGAATAAAACAATGGAACAATTTCTACTTGAAAAAATGTCTTTAATATAAATAAGTTAATTTATCTTGCCTTCAGCTGAAAATCCAACCCACACTAGGTAGGATTTCCTCGTAAGAGGAAGAGGATCACCATGTAAAATTTGTTTTTTCTTTTTCCCCAGCTCTAGCAGTTGAACTCCAAGGCACTGATCACCATCAAATCCTGCACCTAGTGAGAATATATAAATAGAAATCAGGTATCAAAGGCTATTTAGCTATAATGCAGTCTAGAGTACCTTCTGTGATTTTGTGAACTGATTTTGTGATAAACTCTATATTAACTAGCACTACTCTTTATGGATAAACCCCCTGACTGAGGTACCATTCCCGTATTAAAGCAGAATACTATGTTATAGGGACTATTTATACAAAGTGGTATTAAGCGGTAATTCATTCACCCAAGAAATATTTACAAAGAGCTTACTATGTGCAAGGTACTAAGGCTACAATAGTAAAGAAGACATATCCTCAGGAAATTTATATTCAGGTAGGAGAAGACTAATTTTGGGGGAAAAATGTTAAGTGTTAACAGAGAATTAAAATAATAATGTGATACAGAGTGTCAGACTGAGTGATTACTTTAGACTGGACAGTCAGAGGTGGCCTGTGTGAGAAAGTAAAATTTAGCTGAGATATAATTTGCAAGTTAGTTGGGGGAAAGAGCTGTAATATAGTAAACAGAAGGAACAGCTAATGAAAAGATCCTAAGATGGGAACAAGCTTGGTAAATTTGAAGAACACAAAGCAGCTAGTATGGCTAGAATGAATGATAAGAAAAAATGGCAAGAGATGAGGTTGAAGAGGCAGGCAAAGGTCAGATCATGTAGGACCTTGCTAGCTGTGAATAAAGGTTTGATTTTTATTCTAAAGCAATGGGAAGTCATCAGAGGAATTTGAGCAGAAGAGGGACATGTTCTGATTTATGTTTTTAAAAGATCACTCAGGTTGTTATATGGAGAATGGACTATGGAAGGCAAGGGTTGAAGCTAACAAGCCAGTTACAGGGCCACTAGTCCAGGAGAAGAGGGGTTTTAGTGGAGGAGATGAAAAGACAGTTTGGAATGTTTTACTCTATAGAAATGACATGGTGATATGACTTCACTGATAGGGTTGATGTGGGGGCGGTGTGGGAAAGAGAAGAATTCATGATTCATTTCTGACTTGACTGGCTGGGTTAAGAGTATGCCATTTACTCAGATGGGGAAAACTAAGTAAAAGGCATGGCGGAAGGTAAAAAACAAAAATGCAAAAGTTTTATTATGACCAAATTTGAAATGAGTATCAAAATTGTACAAAGAGATTGCAAGCGGCCACTGGATATATAAGTCTGTAGATACAAGGAGAGGGTAGGGCTGGTGATACTAATTTATAGGTCATGGACACACAGATCTATATAAAGCCACAGGCCCTGGGGTACCTGGATGGCTCAGCTGGTGGAGTGTCTGCCTTTGGCTCAGGTGGTCCTGGGATTGAGCCCCACTTTGGGCTCCCTGCTCAGTGGGGAGCCTGCTACTCCCTCTCCCTCTGTCTACCACTCTGCCTACTTGTGTTCTCTCTCTTAAATGAATAAATAAAATCTTAAAAAATAAAATAATAAAGCCACAGGCCTTAACTAGATATCCCAGGGTAGTTTCTCAGGCTGTACTTTTGAGCTATGAGTCAAGAAATCAATTTAAAGTTGCAAATAGTATTTAAAGAAAATTGAAATCGGGGCGCCTGCATGGCTAAGTTGGTTAAGCATCTGCCTTTGGCTCAGGTCATGATCCCATGGTCCTGGGATCTAGCTCCACATTGGGCTTCTTGCTCAGTGGGGAGCCTGCTTCTCTCCCTCTGCCTGCTGCTCCCACTGCTTGTGCTCTTTCTCTCTGTCAAATAAATAAGATCTTTAAAGAAAACTGAAATCAAGTAGTAAATACCGTCCATGAGACTTTTATTTCAGTTACATTTACAGATATGTACAAAATAGCAATGTAGAACGTAGTTCTTATTAGGGCTAAGAGTCAAAAGACTGAAAGTTCCTCATCTAGAGAGGGTACTAGAGAAGCGGGGCTGTGATAGAGTCCTGGAGCACTCCAGCCAAGAGGCTGGCATAGGAGGTAAAGCCAGAAGAATAGCCAAAAGAGTTATCAGTAAAAAAACATCCAGAGTGATGTTACAGAATCTAAGAAAGGAAAGTGCTGGGTAGGGGATGGGTAAAATAGGTGGTGGGGTTTAAGGAATGCACCTGTTGTGATGAGCACTGGTGATGTATGGAATTGCTAAATCACTATATTGTACACCTGGAACTAATATAACACTGTATTTTAACTAAGTTGGAATCAAAATTTAAAAAGAGAGAGAAAGATGGAACTAGAGTATACTGTGCTAAGCAAAATAAGGCAGTCAGAGAAAGACAAATATCACATGATTTCACTCATATGTGGAATTTAAGAAACCCAACAGATAAAGATAGGGGAAGGGAAGGAAAAATAAAATAAGATAAAAATAGAGAGGAAGAAAAAGCACAAGAGACTCAATAGTTAAGAGAACAAACTGAGGGTTGAGAGAGGGGAGGTGGGCAGGGGGATGGGTTAAATGCATGATGGGTATTAAAGAGGGCATGTGCTGGGATGAGTACTGGGTGTTATATGTAAATGATGAATCACTAAATTCTATTCCTGAAACCAATACTACACTATTTATGTTAACTTGAATTTAAATAATATTTTTAAAAAATACAAAAAGGGTTTCTAATGGAATTATCAAAAAAAAAATAAGCATAAAAAGATTAGCAGTAATCTTCCTTCTTTTCGTAAGTAAGCTCTAGGCCCAACATAGGGCTTGAACTCATGGCCCTGAGATGAAGGTTGCCTGCCCCCTATCAATAATCTTGATAAAATCAGTCTTGACACCTAGTGATGGGTACTAAAGACAGAATATGAAGTGAAGGAAGCAGCAATTTTTAAGTCATATTCAAACTGTCTTGGTCCTGTACACTAGAAGTTAGTTTATTTTTTGAGGCATTTAAACTCTGAAAAATCTTACAAGATTTAAACATGGAAGTAACTAAACATGGAATTCTTTCTACAATAGTTTTCCTACAAATAAAATATTTTCCTTTTCATCACTATTAGTGAATACAACAAAATTCTGTAAATTTGAAGACTATACTGATTCAAATACAAAATGAATGCAAAAGCAGGTATATAACCCAAAACCAAATAAGAGAAAGAGAAAAATTCTCAAGTAATTTTGATTTTATTTCAGGTCTCGGTAAAATTATAAAAGACTAGGAAAAAACCTACCTCTATGATAAACAATGAAAAGCTGTTCTCCATGTCCTGCCATTGATACTATAGGGCCAGGAAGACTGAAGATCTCTTTCTGAACACCTCCAATAGTGAACAGTCGAAGGAGCATGGCACTGGTGGCAGCAGCTGCCCATCCCAGACCAAGACATATAGCTTCAATATCTTCATTCTGAGGCATGTCTACTAACCACTCTTTGCTTGAATCCCAAGAACTGAAGTGCAGACAGTGAAGCTTGCTAAAAATTAAAACAAGACAGAAACAAACTTTCATATTTGATATTTTATATCTATAAAACTAATCATGATACCCCAGTGACAAAACCAAATAGCTAATCTTTCTATTAAACATAAATAGCCCAAAAATAGCTTTGAAAAAGTAATTATGAAATATCCTTAAAATGGACTATATTAAAGCCATTTAACAGTCATGTTAATAGGAAAGTGCTCATAACTTAATGTTAAATGAAAACAGGCAGACTAAAATCTGCAGAATATGACCTTAGGTTGCAAATATACAGAAAAAGATGACTAAATTTTTAAAAAGAGATGAAGCATCAAAATGTTAAAGAGTTCTTTCACTGCCAAAAAAATTTAATCCAGGAAAACAAAAGAAAAAAGGAAAAACAATCACACAATCCCACCAGCAAGATCACCAATCACTGCAAACAATTTGATGTTTCCAGATTTTTTCTTTGCATACATACAGACACCTAAGTTATTAAAGTTATTAAAGTTAAGTTTGGGAATGCAGATACTATAGTATTTGGAAACAGAGGTAGTACTGATTTTCTGAAGAGTAATTTAAAATTCTATTTTTTTTTTAAATTTATTTATATGAGAGAGAAAGAGAGAGCAAGTGCATGAGTGGGGGTAAGTGGCAAAAGGAGAAGATGAAGCAGACTCCCTGCTCAGCAGAAAGCCTGATGCGGGGCTCAAACCCAGGACCCTGGGATCATGACCTGAGCCAAAGGCAGACACTTAACCAACTGAGCCACCCAGGCACCTCTAAATTCAATTTTAAAATGAAAAGTCACATTGTATATAGCTATGAAATAACATATCCAGGAAAACAGGGAAAGATATCTGAAATCAAAATTGCACATGGAAACAAATGTTCTAATTATGTTAAGACTCTGAGTTGGAGACAGAGTCAACGGTGGTTTATTTTAGTGTACTAATTTAATTCAATAATGAAATATTGAAAAAAATAATGAAGTAGTGAGTGGATTTTACAATGTGTAAATTAGGAAACCAATTAAAATGTTAAGATATGTTTCTCAGACTTTAATACAAACTCAATCACCTGTAGATCTCATTAAAATGCAGATTCTGATTTAGGTCTGGGGTGGAGTCTGAGATTCTGCTTTCAACCAGCTTCCGAGTGACCCATGCTCCTAGTTTGTGGACACACTTAGAGCAGCAAGAAGCTAATGTATCCGATCAGGATTTTAATTTCGAATCACCTCAGAGTTGGTTAAAACCTATAATCAAGTGTATAAGCATTAAAATCAGCTGAAAAATCAGGAAAAGGCAATCTGGCTGAAATAACAGAAAGATGAATAAAAATATTTTTTCTTCTTTAAAAAAATATGGATGGATTCAGCATTCCACTGCTTTTCCATCCTAATTTTGTCTATGTATCTACTTACCAAATATCATTCTGCCCCCTCCCTTTTTAAAAAGAAGTTTCAGTTCGGGGTGCCTGGGTGGCTCAGTGGGTTAAAGCCTCTGTCTTCAGCTCAGGTCATGATCCCAGGGTCCTGGGATCAATCCCCACATCGGGCTCTCTGCTCAGCGGGGAGCCTGCTTCCTCCTCTCTCTCTCTCTGCCTGCTCTCTGCCTACTTGTGCTCTCTATCTGTCAAATAAATAAATAAAATCTTTAAAAAAATTACATAAAAAAATTAAAGAAAAAAAAAGTTTCAATTCTAATTTATAATGACAAACCCAAAAAACAGAAAAAAATCCAGGTCAGTAGTTGTCCAAGGCTGGTATTAACTGCAAAGGGATACAAGGGAATATTTTTGAGTGATAAAAAATATTTTGAGGAGCACCTGGCTGACTCAGTCGGTACAACATGTGACTCTTGGTCTTGGGGTTATGGTTTGAGCCCTACACTGCTGTAGGGATTACTTAAAAATACAGCAGCAATGTCTACAACAGCCAAACTATGGAAAGAGCCGAGCTGTCCATTGACAGATGAATGGATGAAGGAGATGTGGTATAGGGACACCTGAGTGGCTCAGTTGGTTAAGCGTCTACCATCGGCTCATATCATGATTCCACACTGGGCTCCTTGCTCAGTGGGGAGCCAGCTTCCCCTCTGCCTGTTGCTCCCCCTGCTTGTGTTCTCTTTCTCTTTCTCTATGACAAATACATAAATTAAAAAAAAAAAAATGTAGAGACACACACACACACACACACACACACACACACACACACAAGAGTATTATGCAGCCATCAAAAATGAAATCTTGCCATTTGCAATGATGAGGATGGAACCAGAGTGTATTATGCTAAGCGAAATAAGTCAATCAGAGAAAGACAATTATCATGATTTCACTGAAATGTGGAATTTAAGGGGCGCCTAGGTGGCTCAGTGGGTTAAGCCTCTGTCTTTGGCTCAGGTCATGATCTCAGGGTCCTGGGATCTAGGCTCTGATTTTCTGAGCCCAGATCAGGCTCTCTGCTCCAACAGGGAGCCTGCTTCCCCTTCTCTCTCTGCCTGCCCCTCTGCCTACTTGTGATCTCTGTCTGTCAAATAAATAGAATCTTTAAAAAAAATTATTAAAAAATGTGGAATTTAAGAAACAAAACAGAGGATCATAGGGGAAGAGAGGAAAAAATAAAACAAGGCGAAACCAAAGAGGGAGATAAACCATAAAAGACTCTTAATAATAGGAAACAAACTGAGGGTTGCTGGAGGGTATGGGGTTGGGGTGATGAACACTAAGAAGGGCATGTTATGTAATGAGTACTGGGTATTATATAAGACTGATGAATCACAGGTCTGTACCTCTGAAACCAAAAACATATATGTTAATTAAATGAATTTAAAAAGTTTTTAAAAAATTAAAAGAAAATTTTTGATTGTGACAGTTGATACATACACATTCATTAAACTCACTAAACTGGATACCTAAGAAGTATATTTTATTATACATGAATTACACTAATAAAGTAAATTTAAAAAGGGGGCAGGGGTTTGTACAAAAAGAAATCTAGAAAGGATACATACTAAATTGCTAACAGTGGTTATATCTGAAAGTAGAATTCTGGGGGGGGATTTTTATTTCCTAAAAATCCTATACTGCTTGTCTGTTTAAAATATATATATTAAATATTATGTAATTATGTCTATAATATATAAGCAATTAGAGATAATTATATAATTATAATAATATAATATACCATATTATATACATCTATACATCATATATATCTTACAATAGTAATAAAACAGAGTAACAATGTTTTATCTAACTCTTTAATTTCTCTTGCAATTATAAATTGTTAATTGTATCATGTCATTTCCCCTGCCCCCCCCCACAATGCAGGGCTTGAACTCACAACCCTGAGATCAAGAGCTGAGCTGAGATTAAGAGTAAGATGCCTAGGGGTGCCTGGGTGGCTCAGTGGGTTGAGCCTCTGCCTTCAGCTCAGGTCATGATCTCAGGGTCCTGGGATTGAGCCCCCTGTCGGGTTCTCTGCTCAGCAGGGAGCCTGCCTCGCCTTCTCTCTCTGCCTGCCTCTCTGCCTAATTGTGATCTCTCTCTTCCTGTCAAATAAATAAATAAAATCTTAAAAAAAAAAAAAAAAGAGTAAGATGCCTAAACCAATTGAGTCACCCAGATGCCCCATGTCATCCTGATTTGTAGTTAGAGACTGTAAACCAGATGCCCCATGTCATCCTGATTTGTAGTTAGAGACTGTAAAGGACAATTAGGCAAAAAGAGATATGTTCTGAGGTATTATGTATGAAACTCTTCTGTATCTAACAATCCAGCAGTGACAAATTCTTCCTAATAATCTGGAATTTAGGGGCGCCTGGGTGGCTCAGTGGGTTAAAGCCTCTGCCTTCGGCTCAGGTCATGATCCCAGGGTCTTGGGATCGAGCCCCACATCGGGCTCTCTGCTCAGCAGAGGGCCTGCTTCCCTCTCTCTCTCTCTCTCTCTCTCTGACTGCCTCTCTGCCTACTTGTGATCTCTGTCTGTCAAATAAATAAATAAAAAATCTTAAAAAAAAAAAAAATCTGGAATTTACCTTGCTAGTTCATCAGTACTTTCACATGCCAACAAAATAGCTTCATAAGATAGATCTGCTACTGTGTAATTCAAAGTGTTTGATAAGTGTGTTGCGTGGTGTATGGAGGTATCATGGAACTCCACATCTATGGCATTGTCTTGCTCATCATTATAGCAGCGAATAATTCCAACAGAGTTCCACACCTACAAACATTAAGGTTAAATACAAGTCTGAGATAAATTAAAGGTCCTAGAATCAATGGACTAAAGTAGTACAAATTAATAAATATTATAATTCAGTCTGTATTGAAATTGAAGTTATGGGAGCAAACACAGCTTAACTACCTTTAAATAGTTTCAAGTAAGAGTAGTGACATCAGAACTACAATTACTACCTACTCTTTTCATGAGAAGGCACATAAATATTTAGTAGCAATTGGAGTATTTCATTTACTATTTTAAAAATTACATGACTGCCATAAAAAAATATAATTCTGAACAACCAAACTATTAAATTCCCCAACAGAAATATTTCAAAAATTTACTTACTTATAAATATGGATATAAATGACAGCATATTTTCCTGCTCCAACTAACTGCTTTATATTGTAGGAATAAATATATACATTTTAAGGCAACATAAACCAATACCATTTAGAAAACTTATCTTCCACCCATATATACTACAGGCTCACACTTTCCTCTACTATAAAGAACTATAAATAAAATATGTAACAACAAGAAATTAAGACCTATTACTTGATGATGACTACGGATATCAACAAGTTTTATTAAAATAAAACATCGCTTCTAGTATTTACATATAAACTTATGCCAGGCCTATCCTTTCAAAAAGGACAAGAGGCAAAGTCCTCAGTGGAAAGCCTCAAATAAATAAAAATATTAAACTTTTTAGTTCTCAGAACAAAAAGCTAATATATTCATTCATCCATTTAGGAAATATATTCTTAATGCCTACTGTGCCATACCTTGTTCTAAGTTCTATCAGTAAACAAAACAAAAACAATTTCTTATCCTTCTGGAGTTTATATTCCAGTGGGATGGGGTGGGGAAAAGAGGCAGATAGTTTTTTTTTCCATAGTACTTATCACCTTCTAATATATTATATTAGGAGCTGCCTTCAAAAAAAATACATTCTAACCAGTGTTTTGGAATCAGTATAAACTTCTATATAAAAATATGAGAAATAAAGTTTGGAAGTACAATCAAGAGATATTGCAAGATATATAGTCGCATTATGTTCATTATGTCCCTTTGCAAAGCAGATTTTTTTTTTTTTTGCAAGGCAGAATTTCATTTAACGTGATTTCCAATAATAAGGTTGAAATAAGATTAAAACGGTAAGTTAATCATAAAATAAATCAACTACAAAATTATAATGAACCAAAGTGCTTTTGGCCAGTTAATCAAGGTTTTTAAAAATATTTTGTACCGAACAAAATTAACTATAGTGAGATAAAACACTTACAGTTTAAAGAGTTAAATAAAACTATTTTAAAGTTAAATGTAGATCCAAGGCTTACCATGAACCTATGCGTGAGATGCATGGGAGTAGAACCTGACTGAAATGGCTTTTGCCGGGGAGTTGGCATTGGCCCATCATAAAACGGCCTTTGGGATGTTACAAGTGGTAGATTATGAATGCTGTTGGCCTGATCCTCCTCCTCCTCCTCTTTGGAAAGACTAGAACCAGCTTTTAATATGGTAACATCTAGAAAATAAAAAATCATACTTAGAGAATCATAAATACCAATGATCTAGAAAAAGGAAAGCATTATGAAATCTAAATAAACTTTTCCATTCATATTTAGTAATACTAACATGCTATCTGCCTCTTCTACTACGTTAACATTTACAGTGATGGTACAAAACAATAAGAGGGTAAAACTGTTGGTGTGGCAGTGGCACCAATCTGTATTAGTAGTCAATTCATTGTTAACCACCACTCAATTGCAGTAAAAATATTAATTCTGTTGAATCTTGATCCAACATAGATATTTTTTAAATGTTCTTTGTGCTAAAATAGGAAGTGTGCATAGTGATGTCCGTCTCAAAAAAAAAAAGCATTTGTGCAATTGAGTTGTAAGCTGAACTAATTGATTTTTTCACAGAACACCATTTATACTTGAAAGAATGCCAAATAAACTATGGCTATGCAGTCTTTGGTATTTGGTAAACATTTTCTTTAAATAAATGAAGTTGATCATTTGAGAAAAATAACTGACAGAATTTGTTGTCAATGATAAAATTTGAGTTTTCAAGCAAAAACCAGAATATTAGAAAATGGGGCGCTTGGGTGGCTCAATGTGTTAAGCCTCTGCCCTCAGCTTGGGTCATGATCTCAGGGTCCTGGGATTGAGCCCCACATCGGGCTCCCTGCTCAGGGAGCCTGCTTCCCCCTCTCTCTGCCTGACTCTCTGCCTACTTGTGATCTCTCTCTCTCTCAAATAAATAAAATCTTTAAAAAAAAAAATTTAGAAAACTTGTACCTGCCACCATGAGCTTGACTGCTTCCTAATATTTAAAAACTTCTGATGAGATTGGTGATGATACTGATACTGGATAATAGTGTCAAAATTAAAAGACCTGCAGACCTATAGTGAACCATTATTTTCCAAATTACCAATGCATATATTTCAAAATCAAACATGGTAAATTAAAAGATTCATTCAAGTCAGACCAATGGATTTTAATGTAATACAGCTGAAATATTCACTGGAGTTTCTGGATTCCACATCGCAAGTAAGTTGAGTTTTTGGTACAGTGGCAAAGAAGACTATCTAGAAGTATTTCAACAGGCTGTTAAAATACTCCCTTTACAAACTACATGTTCATGTGAGCCTGAATACTCTACACATATGTCAAATAAAAACAACATATATGGCAACAGACTAAACTCTGAGGCATATGAGAGAATTCAAGTCATCTTCTATGCTAGACATTAAAGAAATTTTCAAAAGGATAAAATAATGCCTATTTTCTTACGAAATTTTTTCATCTGAAACATTATTATGTATACATAAATGAGTTTATTGTTATTTAAAAGTAAATATTTTTAAAATTTCTTAGTTTTAGTTTCTACCATGGTAAATAACGATGTAACTCCACAAATAATTTTCTTTGAGATCCTCAAGTGTTTTTAAGAATGTAATGAGCTCCTGAGATCAAACATTTGAGGACTTCTGTTGTATAAAACCCGTATGATTTAAATGTAGCACAATTTACCACCATAAAATGGTATTTAGCATTTATTTGATAATGATATATTTATTTGATAATGTTAAATGTGCTATTTTAGCATATAAGTTGTTGCAACAGGCACTTTATAAATTTTTTTATTTTATTTTATTTATTTGTTTGACAGAGAAAGAGACAGCGAGAGAGGGAACACAAGCAGGGAAAGTGGGAGAGGGAGAAGCAAGCTTCCTACTGAGCAGGAAGCCTGATGTGGGGCTCAATCCCAGGACTCTGGGATTATGACGTGAGCCAAAGGCAGATGCTTAACAACTGAGCCACCCAGGGACCCCTAAAGGGTTCTTTAAATTGTTATCTCTATTTCTTTAACAGATATTATACTATTCAGGTTACATATTTCTTGAGTTAGCTTGGTAGCTTATATCAAAGAATCATCCATTTTATTAAAGTTGTTACATTTATGGGCACAAAGTTGTTCATAACATTCTCCTTTATTCTTCTGTTATTAATAGCAGTGCTATCTTATAGAAATGAATTATATGTATAATTTTAAATTTTCTAGTAGCCATATTTTAAATAGTAAAAAAAAAAACCCAGGTCTAATTAATTTTAATATTATTCTATATTAAAACATTATAATTTCAACATGTACTCATGTAAAAAAGGACTAAAATATTTTACACTCTTCTCATACTCTCTTCAAAATCTGGTTGCGTTTCACACTTACAACACATCTCAATTTAAACTAGCCGCATTTCAAATGCTCAATAGCCACAGGTAGGTAGTGGCTACCATACTGGATAGTATAGGTCTATAGGATCTATGGTGATGAGTCTCCTTTCATCACTTATATTAGTCATTTGGATCTTCTTTTCCTTTCTGGTCAGTCAGGATAGAGATTCAACAAATTTACCAATCTTTTTAAAGAACTAGCTTTTGGTTTCACTCACTTTCTTTATAGTTTTTTTGTTGTCAATATCATTGAATTGTTTATTTCCTTCTTTCTGCTAGTATGGAGTTTAATTTCCTCTTAATTTTCTAATTTGCCAAAGCAGAAGCTTAGATCATTGATTTGAAACCTTTCTAACAAGTTTTTTTTTTTTTTTTAAAGATTTTGTTTATTTATTTGACAGACAGAGGTCACAAGTAAGCAGAGAGGCAGGCAGAGAGAGAGGAGGAAGCAGGCTCCCTGCTGAGCAGACAGCCCGATGTGGGGCCCAGGACCCTGGGATCATGACCTGAGCCGAAGGCAAAGGCTTAACCCACCCAGGTGCCCCCAAGTATTTAATATTACACATTTCCCTCTGTACACTGCATCAGCTACATTCTGTAAATTTAATAATGACTTCAAATAAAAAAACTTTTCAATAAAAAATTGAAAAGATCAACCAATGGGATGCACAATCATATCTACAAAATCAACACATACCAACTGAATTATCATCATCTTCTAGGATGTGACTTCGTTGTCTAGGACGACCTGAGGCCAGCATGAGGTCGTCATCCTCTTCCTCATCATTTATAATCCTCTTTGAAAAAGAGGGGGTCTCAACTGCATTGTCATTTAGAAAATCACCAGCATTATTTGCATCATCTCCATCAAAAAGATCATTGTAATCCTTTTCCACTTTGCTAGATACCTTGAACAAATTAACACAAATTACAAAGTATCAGTGAACTATTTAGATAGACTCCTTTACTCAAAAGGCAATTCTGTAATACACACCTATACATTCTACCATGTAGCAAACGTACCTGACAAGAATAAATGTACTTACGAGCACTGGATTTATATTTATGTGAGAACTAGTCGTTACTTTAAGTGCCTTACAGACTAAGGATGGGACAGGAGTATAGGACAGGTATGTAAAGAACTATTGTATATACCCAAATACAAGGCAAGATTTTACTCTTCAAAGGTCATTCTCCAGAGAAGTCACCTAAAGTCCCTATAAAATCTCTTTTATTATAAGATTCTCTCATTTACTTTTATTAAATTGATTTTATACTGCTTAGGTAGTATAAAATTGCTTTCAATGATCTCAGTTAAAGCTAGTTTTTTTGTGGGCTTTTTTTTGATGCTTATAAAAGTAAATGGATGGAACCAACAGACAAAGGAAGCAAGGATATTCAACACTAATCTCTGATTCCTAGGAATATGAACATTGTAGATGTAGAATCTACCTTTGTAGATCCCAGATGACTGTAAACAGTTTCTTAGATCACATTACTATATTTGTTGGGTAATCTCCATGCCCAATGAGGGGCTTGAACTCACAACCCTGAGATCAAGAGATGCATGCCCTACTGACTCAGAAAGCCGATGAGATCACTTTAAAAAGTGAATAGTGGGCGCCTGGGTGGCTCAGTCGGTTGAGTGTCTGTCTTCAGCTCAGGTAATGAACCCAGGGTCCTGGGATCAAGCCCCATGTCTGGCTCCTTACTCAGCAGGGAGTCTGCTTTTTCCTCTGTCCTTCCCTCTGCTCATGCTCTCACACTCAAATAAAGCAAATCTTAAAAAAAAAAAAAAAAAAAAAAAAAGAATACTAAGCAGATACACTGTAGAGCTCACAGATGACTTCCATAGTATAAATGAATGTACAAATGTTCAATACATTTGTTATTGTATAACAATTTTTTTTTACAACTGTATAACTGTACAAATGTTAAGCCAATGGAAACTTATAGTTTGGTAAAAATTCTTTTTTTTTTTTAATTTTATTTATTTGACAGAGTAAGAGAGGGAATA